GATATGTAGTTCTTTAGGCAAAGGGATGATTCTCTATTTAAGCTTGAACGCCAAGTGCTTGAAAAAAAAAGCAGAAGGTCAAAGAACTCGAGGGGGTCAGCAAAAAGTTATACAGTGAGGATAAAAAAGTCACTGATGCTGAACGTAACCAGGAACTCTTAGTTGAATCTTATAAAGATAAGCTTTTTGACATCCAAGTTAAGCTAGTAGAAGCAGAGAACGAGTTGAAAAGTGCAATGGAAATGCGGCAAACTTTAGTAACCAAGCAGGTAGAACATCAAATATCGCTTAAGGTGGAGCTCAATGATTTGAAGAAGCTAGAAAATGCTGTAAGTAATGTGAAATTGTTTTTTTTGATGATGATCTACATAAGCAGGCGATGGCGGAAGTTGAATTGGAGCACCAAGAGTCTTTGAACAGACTCGCTAAGGAAATCCGTAAAACTACTGAATTTCCTTAATTTTTTTTGTAGTCTGGCCCTTGTAGTGGTTTCCCAATAATGAAATTATAGTTTTATCCACTAGCCTCTTCTCTCTGTGTATCTTAACTCCTCTTTGACAAAGTTCATATGTTTGTGCGAGGGTATGAGACTTTTCTTAACGAGTCTCAACATTTAGGACTTTTCATAGTTGTCCTGACGAGCCTCATCGCTCTGGGGCGAAGCTCATTGGTTTCAATGAGCTTCATCATTTTGTACTGATAAGATAAGTCCTAGAACTTTAAGACGAAGTTCAAATTTTACCGAACCTCGTTCTGAATAAGCCTCAACATTCAATGAACTTCGTCAATTAGAAGTTTTAGGGTGAGGTTCGGCCTGATTTCAACTAAATCTCACTATTCGAGTCTAGTCTAAAATCATGACCTTCGTTCTTCCAATGTTTGGACATAGGGTTCAAACTAATTTCAACCAAACCTCAATATTCGGGAAATAGTGACCTTCATCCTTTTTAACCCTAGAGACGACGTACAAATTGATTTCAATTGAGTCTCAAAATTCGAGCTCGATCAAAATCGTGACCTTTGTTATTGTGACCTTCAAAGATGAGGTTCAAACTGTTCTCAACTGAGTCTCAAAATTTGAGCTCTGTAGGAGAAGTGACCTTCATCATTTTGGAATTTGGAGCGGGACTTAATCTCATTAGATAAAGTCAATCGGACTCTAACAGTTCCTGAGCTGTTGATCCACATGGATCCGTTGCTTCGTTGGGGGTAGCAATAAGTACTTAATAGTTAATGCGCCATTCCAAATCATGCTTCATCTTCGTTAAGTACGAAGGTATTGAATGTGTCTCTTCAGTTCCAGCGTCTCTTGACTATCTGGCACTCAAGAATTCATGTAATGAATCCTTGCCACTTGGTTGGCTTCACTGCCTATAAATAGGCAATCGCTCTTCAAGAAGAATCATCACCTTCTTCTTTGAGTCCTATAACAAAATGACTCAGAGAAGTTTCCTCTTTTCAATGTTCCCCTCTTTATCCCCTCCACAGCTTCAAGCTTTTCTGTCTTTAATGATCGCCGCCGGTGAGGTAGACAAAATTGGTATCATGGTCCCTTTGATCGACGCCACTGCTTCAGGTAAACTCTGATTAAATCGTACATCTCTCCACCAGCGCAAAATTTGTGCTTAGAAAAATTAAGCCTTTGTTGGGTAGATGAGTAATCTTTCCCTTAACTGTTCATTACATTTCTTGTATGATGAGACTTGTTGTATCAAAGAAGTTCACTCTTTTAACCTCATTCCTCAGTTGAAAGATATCTACCTTTTCAACAAAACTCGTTAGTTTGATGAGGCTCCTTCGTTTGGTGAGGTTCACTTGTCTAACGAAGTTCACTTGTCTGGCAAGGCTCATTTGTCTGACGAACCTTGTGCTAACTTTGTCCTTTTGCTCTTTGTAATGGCTCATCCATTTAAGAATTTCTTAACCTTTCAAAATTGAAGTCAGGATGTGTTTCCGCAATTTGTTCAACTTTTGAATGCAACCCCAAAGAGATATCCTAGGTTCACTCCTGTTTACCCCTTCAACATGGCATGCACCCCCAAGCATGCAACCCTTCATTTGGACCTTAGGTTATGTGGCAGCTTTACGGACCTATTGAAGCACTTATCCTTCTTCTCACGAGCATGAGCAGCTATTTTAAAGATGCCACTTCACTCTGTAACTCATCCACGTTCCGTTGGAATAGGGAAAATGCTGATCCTATGCTCATAGCTTGTAGTGTTTGTATTAGTAATTAGTTTACTAAAGCAGATGGGCGGGTGCTACCATTATCAAAGTTGAAAGTCAGACATAGGGAAGACTTCATGCCAAGGAACGAAAGATGGAACTTCAACAACAAGAACCGCAACGTTATTGAAAATGAAGCTCAACACCATTGTAAAAGGCTTAATGAATTGTACAAGAAGGCGTTATCGAAGGTCGTCGAAATAACTTGTAACTGAACTTTGTAGTTTAGCTCCAAAGGTTGTTGAAAGAACTTGTAACTGAACCTTGTAGTTTAGCTCTAAAGGTCGTTGAAAGAACTAGTAACTGAACCTCGTAGTGTAGTTCGAGTTTTCTAAGTTCAATCTATGTACTCCGATTCTCTGTATTTGTAACTTCAATCAGTACATGAATAAAATTTATAGTTTTATCCATAGATTATTCTTTTCTTTTGTGTAATTAATAATTATAACTTAGGATTTTTAGCAAACCCTCAGCTATCAACGGACTTGATATGTCTTTACTAACTGTCGTTTGAGTTGGACTAGTTATACGTTTCCCCTCAGTATGATGAGTTCTCGAAGAGTTTCTCTTAGATTCAAGTGCTTAAATTTCTCCTATATCCTTAGCCTTTCTAGGCATTGGATCAAATGTATGATAAAAATAAATGACTAAGTCATAATCAAGTTTTGGGAATTTGAAAACGAAGCTCATCACATAGTAGGCTTGTTATAGGAAAACAAACGTCACTTATGAAAATGACAACGTTAGGATGACCACATCGTTCAATGACTCAAAAGTATGATGATTATGATGAAATAGCAACACATCACATAGTAGGTCGCTATTAGAAAATGAACGTCATTTATGAGAATAACGACATTAGGAGGATCATATCATTCAGTAACATAGAAGTATAACGGCTATGATAAAATAGCAACACATCACATAGTAGATCGCTATTGGAAAATGAATGTCATTAGTGAGAATGACGACGTTAGGAAGATCATGTCATTTAGTGATATAGAAGTATGACGACTATGATGAAATAACAACACATCACATAGTAGGTTGCTATTAGAAAATGAACGTCATTTATGAGAATGATAACGTTAGGAGGATCATGTCGTTCAGTGACATAAAAGTATAATGACTATGATAAAATAGCAACACATCACATAGTAGGTCACTATTGGAAAATGAACGTTATTAGTGAGAATGACGACGTTAGGAAGATCATATCGTTCAGTGACATAAAAGTATGATGACTATGATGAAATAGCAACACATCACATAGTAGGTCACTATTTTGAAAATAAACGTCATTAGTGAGAATGACGATGTTAGGAAGATCATTTCGTTTAGTGACATAAAAGTATGATGACTATGATGAAATAGCAACACATCACATAGTATGTCGCTATTTTGGAAAAGTATTTTTGAATAAAAGTTAAGCATCGACTATCAAAGGTAACTATTAACATGATAGTTTTGTAGACCCACCATCTTATTGCAGAGGATTGGTAGGAGAATTTAGAGGGTAACCAGTAAAGAATTTATTACCTTAGTTTACCTCTTAAAGATCTAAAAGAGAGAATCTCCTTCTATCGTGATGCAAATTTGATTAAAAACCTACGGGTAGTATTTTTTTTAGAAATTTACCATTGATAGGTATCATGAGTTTATCTCCATCGTAAGTGATGAGGTGATATGCTCCATTTGAGTAGACAGTTTCCACTACAAATGGTCCTTCTCATTTTGGCTTGAATTTCCCTTTCTTTTTGGAGTTCGGAATCATTAGGCGTCGGACAGCGAGAACCAAGTCACCTTCCTTAAATGTACAGTATATAACTTTCTTATCGAATGCTCTAGAAATCCAAGCCTGATAGAATTCAATGTGTTATTCAGCTTGTAGTCGCTTTTCGTCTAGCAACTCTAGCTCTTCGAGACGTCAGCGGTGATTTTTTTCCATCGTTATGTCAGTTGCAAGTGCTATCCAAAGAGATGGAATTTAGTTTTTTAGTAATAATCGGCTTCACATCTGTATACCCAAGGAGTATGGTGTCGCATCTATCGGTGTACAAACTATTATACGATAAGCCCACAAGCTTTGACCTAACTTATCATTCCAGTCTCTTTTGTTTGTCAAGACCATCTTAGTAAGAATTTTGACAATGGTCTTGTTGAAAGCTTCTGCTTGCCTATTAGCAGGGTTATTGAGGCTAAATTCCTAATTCTAGATTTATTACAGAATCGAGTGAAGTCTTGGCTAACGAACTAGGGTCTATTGTCATGGATGATACGTCTCGAAACACTATATCTATATATGATGTGATGTTTAATGAATTTAACCATATCACTTGTGATGACTTCTTTTAATATGATTGCTTCCACCCATTTGGAGAAGTAGTCAGTTATCGCTAAAATAAAGCGATGTCCCTTGGAAGAGGATGGGGATATCGGGCCAACAATGTCCATACGCCATGTCTCAAATGGCCATGAAGTGGCTGATGGATAAAGATGCTCAGGTGGTTGATGCATGTAATTAGCATGTATCTGGCAGACATGGTATCATTTAGCATAAGCAACAGCGCCCTAACCATATTTGGCCAATAATAACCCAGTCTATGAAGTCGGTACCACAATTTAGGTCCAGGTTAGTGGGCTCTACAGATGCCATCATGGGCTTCTTTGAGAACTTCTTCTGCTTCTTTGCCTGATAAGCAGCGAAGTAGCAATTCATCATACGACCTTTTGTATAAGGTTTGTGATTAGGAATCATAATAGAATCTTGGTGCTCATCTACGAACAGATTCTCTTTCTCTGATGTCTTCGGGCAGTAAGCTATACAAGACATAATTAATGATCGGGAATCGCCAATCTCTAGGTTCGAGAGGTTCCGACATTTCATTGACTGCGTTAATTTGTAGTGCATACTTGGGTCGGAACAACTGTCTGCTAGCTACCGTGACTTGTTGGGTAGCTCCTTCAGGCAAAGCTAGTGTAGCTGCAAGTGATGCTAATGCATCAGCATATGTGTTCCTGAGGCGATGTATATAATCAATGTAGAAACCTTCAAAGGAGTTGGTTAGCACAATGGCTGCGGTGTGATATGGAATGAGATCTTCATTTCTAACTTCATATTCTCCTTTTATCTGGTTGACGATGAGTTGTGAATCACCATACGCCTCTAGATATTTCACCCCTAGCTGTTTGGCTATGTCAAAGCTGATTAACAAAGCATTGTATTTGGCCATATTATTAGAACATGGCTCTGTTAAAGAAATAGCTCGAGGTAGCACATGATTTTGTGGGGAAATGAAGCCTACCCCCACTCCGGCAACAACTGGGCAACTAGGGCTTGCTTTTACTGCGCAATCAAAGTATAATTTCCATACATGTTCTTTTGATATGATATTAGCTTCTTACATCTCATCAGGTATATCCTGGTACAATTTGACATTCCCAACCAATGGATGATTGGCCATAAGATCGCAAATAGCTTGACCTTTCATTGCCTTTTGAGGTTTGAAGTGAATGTCATATTATGACAACAACAGTGCCCATCTTGCAAGTCGCCAGTTTAATGCACCGGGCTGTGTCATAAATACCTGTATGGGGTTAATCATGGAGATGACATGTATTGTTTGTCCAACCAGGTAATGTTGCAAAGACCAGAGCTAAGCACTCCTTCTCAATAGGTGGATAGCGAGGTTCAGCTCCTGATAAAGTTTTGCTGAGATAATATATGGCCTGTTCATGGCCATTATCATCATCTTGTGCTAAGAGTCATGCTAAGGCATGCTATGTAGCTCGAATGTATATCAAAAATTGTCTACCTGACTTTGGTGCAACCAACATAGGTGAACTGGAAAGATATTTCTTGATCTCTTCAAATGGTTTCTGACAAGCCTCATCCCATGCGAAGGATACCCCTTTTTTCATGAGTCTTGAGAATGGATGACACTTTCCTGATAAGTTGGAGATGAATCTACAGATGTACACAAAACGCCCCTGTAGACTACGAAGTTCCTTAAGGTTTTTTAGAGGAGGAAGCTCTTGAATAGTTTTAACTTTGTCTGGGTCAAGACAAATTTCATTAGTTATGACTACGAACCCAAGAAATTTACCGCTGGCTATTCATAGGAATGATTTGGTTGGATTCATCTTCAATTAGTGCATCCGCATGAGATCGAACATTGATTTCAAGTCATGTAAATGATCTCCCTTGTCACGACTTTTGACAACTAGGTCATCAACATAATATTCCACAGTCTTCCTTAAATGTTCTCAAAAAATAATGGTCATGGCACGTTGATATGTAGCACTAGCATTCTTCAATCCGAAGGGCATTACTATGTAATAGTATATCCCTAAAGGTGTTCGGAAAGAAGTATGTTTTTTATCATCGGGATACATCTTAATTTGGTTGTATCCTGAGAATCCATCCATAAAGGATATCCTTTCAAACTCGCACGTATTGTCAATAATGACATCCGTGATGGGTAAAGGAAAATCATCTTTGGACAAGCCAAATTTAAATCTCAGAAGTCAATACAAACTTGAATCTTCCAAATCTTTTTTAGAATAGGAACGATATTGGCCACCCAATCAGGTTGTTGTTCCTTGTGGATAAATCCTGATTCAATGAGCTTTTTAACTTCAATTTTAATTACCTCCATGATCTGGGGCCAAAATCGTCGTTGATTTTGCTTAACAGGCATAGCGTCTGGTTTGATGTTAAGGCGATGCATGGCCACCTGAGGATCAAGACCCGGCATGTCCTCATAATTCCAAGCGAAGACATTGATATATTCACGAACAAAAGTGACGAGACCCTCCATTTCTTCAAGTGATAGGCTATCACTTATGAATATGGATTTTGGATTAGACTCGTCTCCCATTTTCACTTGAATCATTTTATCGTTAGTAGGAGGTTCACGTTTGTTGGCCTTTTGTTTTGATGATGATTTACAAACAATCCTAATATTGTTTGTCTACTGTTTGTGTTTTCTTATTAGGTATTCTAGACAAACAATGAGTCGTAGGTTGGATGGATTGAGCCTAAATGATCACATCAAATGGAGGTTGGCGGAATATCAGTATGAAGCCAATTCTATTCAAAGTAAAATGCAATATCAAGCTTCATCCGCAACCAAGTTAAGCTACATCGAAGATCAAACTTGGGTAAATTAGTTTAAGGTTTATACTACGTGTGTAGATACTTTAAGCATGATCATATACACACATATACATTTTGGTTTTATAGTTTTCAAGTTTATATAAATATGAAATAAATATACTTATTTATATACATACATACATGTTTCATATTTATTATTTTTAGTTTTGGTAAACAATGTGTTTAGCCACATAAACATGAAAACTTAACAACACGTATATAAATATATTTTCTTGTTTTGAACGGTTTACAAAACAAATGATATCTCACAAATGGGAAATAAAATTTGAGAAATTCTTTTTCTAATATGTTTACAAACATTTCTCAAAATTTTATCATTTTTGGAGTTGATTTACTATATTGAATTAATTTTACAAGATCGGGTATTTCAGCAGTTTTTAGAATTTGTAATATATGTGTTCAAACAATTATTTATCTCAACTAGAAGTGATATTTCAGAAATTCTTTCTCTAACATGTTCATATACATGTATAGAAACGTCTCTCAATATTTCATTATTTTTGGAGTTGATTTACTATTTCTAATTGATTTTATAAAGTCAGATATGGAAATTTTCCAGAATGCTGGATTTTGGGGTGTTTTGGTCTTTTCAACCTATAACGGCTAGTTTTGAGTATTTTTAGTTTTTAGGGATTTTTGGCATTTTTCTTGGGTTCTTCTTGGATTTGGGGTTTCCTATAAATACCCCATCATACCTCATTCCTCTTAACCATCCAAGAGAGTTTCTAAACAAGTTTTAAAGTGTGGTTTAAGTTTGTTTAAGTGTTTGTTTATAAAATTGGTTTTGTGAACATTGTTTCACAAGAAGAGGAGATTAACTTGGGTTTCAGCTTTCAATTTTATATCTCCATCTCTCTTGTCTTAGAGAAGTTTTCCTTAAACTCAATCTCTAGCTAATTATTATTTTGATTATAATTCCATAACCATATTTTACATTGAGTTTATATTTGTTTTTATTTATACTCTTTGTTCACACACAACCTATTGAGCTTTTAGTATCATCACATATTATATAATTTGGATTGTGGGGTTGTGACATTGAGAGTGAGCTATTATAGAGTTCTCATCCATTATAGAGAACAAACTTTGTTATTGAGCCTTCATTGTGAGATCACTTTGTAATACACTTGTACACCGAGAGGAGTGTGTGGTAAGAGACAGGGTCGATTCCAAGAGGAGTGGCATCGGTAGTAAAGCCTAGGGAGAGTTGGTAAATCTGAGCACTTGAGGAAGAGGATACGGGCTAGAGACCAACACTTAGAGGGTGTAGAGTGTAATTACAAGAGTGTGAGATTGTGAGAGTTTTCGGTGAGCTAGAAAACCAAACTTGTGAGGTGTAAATGTTTTTGGGTGAATATCGAAAACCAATTGTGATAGTGGATTCTCCCCGGGAGTGGGGAGCAGAAACATATGTCGGAATGACCGAACTCCGTGATCATATCGTGTGTTTGAGTTTTTCCGTAGCGTATTATTTGTGCTCATTGCTTATCTCATTCTATTCGCCATTGTCTATTGCTCATTTGTTTATGTTGCCTACTATCACATTTGCATCTTGTGTTTATTTCACCCTTAGTTTATTTATCCTTGCATATATTTTGTAGAAATTTGCATCTTGTGTTTATTTCACCCTTAGTTTATTTATCCTTGCATATATTTTGTAGAATATCATTCTTGCTAGGATATATTATTTATTTCACCCTTAGTTTATTTATCCTTGCATATATTTTGTAGAATATCATTCTTGCTAGGATATATTATTCATAAGTTTTTAATTGGCATTAATATCAGATTAGATTAGCATAAACCCTATTCATCCCTCCCCCTCCCCTAGGGTGCTTTCAATTGGTATCAGAGCTTGGTGCTCTTTGAGTTAAGGTTTAATTGCCTTGAGTTAAAGATCTAAGTTATCTTATATTGCTAATCTAGTTTTGATATTTTTGTATTTTGCTTGCATCATATATTATGGACATGAACGACGCACCTAGTCTTGGTTATGCCATTAATGTTGCTCCTCGTTTAGATAATTTCCCCTATACACAATGGTGTATTAGATTTAAGCTTTTTGTTAGATCTAGACACTTTAATTTATGAAAAATTATAGATTGTGCTTATATTGTGCCCACGTTGGAGAAATCCAAGTGGAGCAAACATGATAAGAAAATATTTACAATGAATAAGCTTTTGTTAGAATTTATGCATAACACCTTTGATTCATCTTTTTCTAACAAGCTTGATTCATTTGATAGTGCTTACAAATTATGGAAATTCATTAAAGCATATCAAGGGAACTTGGAGGTGATCCGATAAGCTTTGGCGGCTCCCTCTTCAAGTTCATGTGGAGCATCATCGTGCACACGACTATTAGACGATAGCCCTAGTGTGGTATGCGACTCGGATTCTAAAAATAAACTTTTTATTAATGAACTCGCTTGTGCATATGATAGATTAATGCATGCCTACACTAAGTTGCATAATAATTTTATAGATTTAAAAAGCAAGGATGCTAGCTTAAAAATCTGATCATGAGAAGTTAGTGTCCAAATTTGATATTATTGCAAAAAAAAATACTATGCTTAAAGAAAATAATGATATGTTAAATTTGGAAAATAAAAAATTAAACTCATCTGTTACTAGCTTGACTCATGAGAAAGATAATGCCATGTATAAGGTTGAGGCTAGCAAAAATAATTTGAATACTTTTATGAATAAGTATGTTTTCTCTACTTCTATTATCAATGATATTATGTCTAATAATGAGTTGAATATTGTTAAAAATCGTATTTCATCTTTAGAGTCAACTCTTAACGCATGCATTGATAATCATAAGAAGCTTATGAATATGTATGCTAAGTCTCATGCCACTACATCTAAACATCACATACATCATGCACACATATATAGCAAAATTTATAAAGTTCTATTTGTGGCTGAAAAGGCCATATTGCTAACTTTTGCTATGATGCATACAAATCCTCTAACACTAATACTTCTTGTGCATTTCATAAGGCTTCTTCATCACACGCACATGCATATGCACTTAATGTTCATCATAAG